TCCCTTCAATCTTTTCTGATTATGGTATTGTGCCATTCTTTTTCGTACGAATTCCAGTTCGTGTTGCATTTCTTCGTGTAATTTTTTTAGTTTATCTGCTTGTAGCATTGCTTGTTCTGCTTGCGGTCCTTCACGCTGTATTTGAAATACTTCGGGATTAAATCCGTAATTGGCGTAGGCTGGTGTTTGCTTTGTCGATTCCGATATCGAGCTATTGTAAGCCAATTGCGCTGTAGGTAACCATTTAACCTAATTGTCCTGTTGATGGTTGATGTAGTATTGCAGATACTGTTCAAGCGTCTGGTTCAATCTTTCCGTCTGTCCATCTGTCTGTGGATGATATGCAGTGCTTAACTTGTGATTCGTTCTAAGTTGTGCTATAAGTGCTTGCTAAAACTTAGAAGTAAATGTACTTTCTCTGTCCGATATGATTTCTTCTGGCAGTCTATGGTTGCTTGCTATTGTTTGTAAGAACACATATGCAAGTTCTTCTGCATTGCTTGCTTCTTTGTACGGTAGAAAGTATCCATACTTTGTGAGTCTATCCGTGACCACGAATATGCTGTTATATTCCACATTGGTTATTGGTTCTTTTGATATTGGTAGCTTTGTAATATGATCGAAAGCTATCGATTCCCATGGTCGTGTTGGTACTGGTAATGGTTGCAATTCTTCGTATGGCTTATGTTGTGAAGCCTTACTTTTTCTGCATTGTATGCATTTGTTGACAACCTTTTCGACTACTTTCTTGATTCCTGAGAAATCGTATTGTCGTTGTATCTTATCCAGTGTTTTGCGGATTCCTTGATGTTCGTAAACTGGGTGTTTATGCATTTCTTTGATGTATTTTTCTTGTAAGTCTGGTGGTATCCAGATTTTTTCTTCATATATTGGTACTCCTCCTGGGTAGCATGTGTATCCTATTGGTACGTCTCTAATGTGTTGGATATTGTTTGTTGCCTATTGGTGTATTTTGCCGTATACTGGGTCTTCTTTTTGTACTTTTAATATGGCATTCAGTTGTCTTTGCTGGAAATTGCTATTTTTATTGATTTTAAGGAGTTGTCTTGTTGCTGTAGGTACTCTTGTATTGTAGTTGCTTCTTCGACTTAGAGCGTCTGCTCGTCTGTTCTTGGATCCTTTTTGATGGATGATTTTGTAGTTGAATTCTGAAAGATATTCGGCCTATTGAATTTGTTGTCCATTTAATTGTTGCGTCGTTGTAAAATGAGAGATGTTTTTATGATTGGTATACACCTTAACTTTGTGTTTGCTTCCCATGAGATAGTGTCTAAATTCCTTGAAAGTATTGATGATTGCTAGGAATTCTTTGTTGTAGATGGGGTAGTTGAGTTTTGCTCCATGAAGTTTCTTTGAGTAGAACGTAATAGGGTGTAGTTTTCTGTTATTGTCTTTTTGTCTAACTTGTGCTCTTAGAGCAAAGTCTGATGAGTTGGTTTCTAATTCCGTTTCCTTTTCTGGGTTGAAGGTTCTCAAAACAGGTTCGGATGTGATGAGTTCTTTGATCTTGTTAAAGGCACATTGCGCCTTATCGTTCCAGTCCTACTGCTTATCCTTTTTGGTGAGTTTATCTAAGGGTGCTGCGATTTCGCTGTAGCTCTTGATGAATTTCTTGTAATAGTTCGTAAAGCCTTTAAAGCTTTGTATGTCCTTGACATTCTTTGGTGTTGGCCAGTTCCTTACTGCCTTAATCTTTGTTTTTTCTATTTGTATCTCGTTTGGTCGTATTGTGTGTCCTAGGAAGTCTACTTCTTGTGTATGGAACTTACATTTTGTTGGTTTAAGTAATAGTTTAGCGTCTTGTAGTGTTCTTAGTACCGTGTGTACGTGTTCCTTGTGGTCTTTTAGGGTTTTCGAGAAGATTAGTATATTATCGAGATATACTACCACGAAGTTATCCAAATATTCTCGTAGTACGCTGTTAATTATTCTCTGGAATGTTGCTGGTGCATTGGTGAGCCCTATTGGCATTACCAAATATTTGAATAGTCCGAACTTCGTTCTGAAGGCTGTCATCTATTTGTGACCCTTCTTTATTTGAATCAAGTTGTATGCTCCTTTTAGGTCTACTGCGGTGAACCAATTCATACCGTGTAATCGGTCCCGTAGTTCCGATATTAGTGGCAACGGTGTTCTGTCTTTCATGGTAATCGCGTTTAATTGCCGATAATCTACTATTAACTGTAATTTTCCGTTTTTCTTTGGAACAAACATAACTGGGTATCCAGCTTCTGATGTCGATGCTTTGATATAGCTTTTTGCTAGCATCTTGTTGATGTATTCTCGTAACGTTTCGAGTTCTTTTGCGTTTAAGTTGTAGATCTTGTGGAATGTTGTTGACTTTCCATCTGCTAATTCGATTTTATGATCCCATTAACTGTGTTCGGGTAATCCGGTTTCTAATTCTTCTGCGAATAATTTTTCGTATTTCCGGTATTCCTTAGGGATATTCTTGAGTCTTTCTTCTTTTGTTATTGGGCTTTTGTCGTCTTTATCGTTCTCGTTTCTCTTTTCTCCTTCGAGTTTCTTGTTTGTGTTCGCGAGGTCTTTTCTTAAGGTGGTAATAACCTTTTGGATCTTGGCTTTTGTCTTCTTGTTGCTTATTGTTGTTCGTATCCCGGTTTGTAGCGCCGTTGAGGTTGTTACGGTGGATCTAATTGTTTTGACTGCTTTTCTGCCGCTTGTTTGTTGTTGTTGGTCCTTGGATAACTTGCTTGAAGGTTTTTTTTCTTTAGAACTTTGTTTATGAGCTAAGTTATGACGAAATTTCGTTCTTTCTTCTGAATTCTGCTGATTCTGTTGGCCTGAAGTCTCGTTCCACTTTAGTTGGCCTGTCCTCTAGTTGATTAGTGGGTTACTCTCCTATAACCATGGGTACCCTAATACTAGGTCGTGTTCCGATACGTCCATAATATCGAGTTGAATTACTTCTGAATGACCTTGAATTTGTACTTCGAGATGATCAGTCTCTTGGTTAATGATTCCGTTATTATAGGCAAAAAGTTTTCCTTCGATATTAGTTAACTTGTATGGTGCCTTTTTGTGTTTCTACGGTAGTTGGTAACGATTCACAACTCTGGGTGAGATATAATTGCCTATCGCGCCACTGTCCACAAGTATGCGAACGCGATGTCCTATGACTTCGGCGTCTAATACTATCTTATTGCTTTGTCCGCTTTTGGTTGCGTTGAGGGTTATTAGCGTCTTTCTCTTTATGCCAGCTTGTAGCCCTTTTACAGATGGCGTGCCTCGTTTTTTGAGTTTTCTGGAATAGATTCTTTTGCGATTTGTTGTTTTATTTCTTGGTACTATTTTGTAGGTCTAGTTCTATTTTGTGGGTGCTTAAAGCAAAACCTATTGTTAAATATTTGATATAGGCGATTGTAAATTTGGTTTTTTATTTCTCTGTGTTTTTCGCATCTTGGGTTGTCGCAGTTTACCGCATATTTCCTGTTGTATCTGGGGTTGAACTTTTGTTCGTTGTACTATTTATCTAGATTTTGTTTATTGTGGTATGTTGATTTTGTGGTTCCCCTGGGGTCTTTCTGTTTGAGTATGTTTAATGCTTGTTGTGTCTGTTTGTATGCTGCTGGTGTTCCACATTGCTACTTGTGCTATTCTTTGGCCTTATCTACTATATGTTCTGAGCAATTTGGTAGTGGGCATTCCATGTGGTCTTTTGTTTCATATTGAGGTGATTTGAGTAGTAGCTCTCTTTGGTGCGTTGGGATCTTTCCCTTATATACATATTGATGCTACTGCTTGTTCTTTGTATATACATGTAACTGGTATGTGTCTGATTCATATACGTCCGTAGGATCTGTATGAGCTCGGCATTTGATGGGTGTGTTTAAATCGGGTTCCAAGATCATCGTTTGATTGTTATTGATTATCTTTACTCTTTATTCTAGGAGTTCCTATCTGAAGTATGGTGCTTTGATTGGATATCCTTTTATCCTGATTGGAAATGTATCTAGTTGTGCCTTGGTTTGAAAGTGTGCCTGGCATATTATAAACGCGTATGATGCCCATGCTAAACGTGTGTGTTCCGTGTGTCTTGGTGAGAGTCTAGGATTGTCTTCCTTTTCTCCTTCCGGAAACTATAGTGTCTGGTTTTCTATTGCCGTGGTGGTGTCCACTGCTAGAATAGGAATTGCGAAATGTTTTCTTGTTGGTGCGGGGAAATATCGCTGTACAGCTTGTTCTTGTGTGGCTGTCAGCCTTGCAGGCGTTTCTTCCTTGTTTTGTTCGTCTTCGGACGCTTCTGGAGTATCTAGGATTGCGTTGTCGTTATCGACGCTTATTTCCCTTACTCTATCTTTCGGTTCGTTGAAGGTGGTGAGGATTTGTGCGTCTTGCTTCTCCCTATATTGTTGTTCCCTTCGAATCTTCCTTGCTTCTGCTTGTTGTTGCACCTAATCGAGAATTTCTTGGTGCGAGTCTTCGTCCAAATATTCTGGCGATTTTGGTTCATGGAGTTCCTTTTGTCCTGTTATTGTAAGCGTTCTCTTTTCTATTGATTGTTTGTCTAGGTCTTCTTGTACCAGTTGTTGGGCTACTTGCAGTCCGTTTCCCATGAAGTTTATAATTTTCTTTTTTGGTTTTCTTGGTTCTTTTGGAAACTATCCTCTTTCTTGTTTGCTGCTTATGTGAACGTAGTAGTTGTCGTTATAGCAGAAGGTCTAGTTGAGGTTCTTATGTTCCACCTCTGATTTGGTAACTTCGATTTTCTGTTGGTTAGTAGAATTGAGTTGTTTCTTATCTTCTTCTGGTACTGGCTTCTATTCTTTCCTGGGTTTCTTGCATTTATTGGCGAAATGTCCTGGTTTTCCGCAGTTGTAGCATTTCTTTTCCTTTTTGTTGTTTTTCTTGGTAGCGTCAAGCTCCATTCGTCCAGGGTTAAGAGTGTGACTATAGGCAATAGGTTCGTCACGCTTTCTGCGTTGATTGGCTTGGTAACTCTTTCCTTTGGTAGGGTTCTAGGTTCCTTTACCCTGTTTCTTCTGTATGCGTTGCTGATACTGTTTGTTATCGATTCGTACCGCCATAGCGATGTAATCCGATAAGTTGTCTGGTCTGTTCTCTTTGTAGAGTTTATCTTTGACTTCTTCCTTAAGTTCTTTATAGAAAGCTGACATAAGAGGTTCGTCCTCCCAGTTAAGCTGAGATGCGAGTTGTCGGAAGCGAGCGGTATAATCGGATGCCGATCCCTTCTGCTTGAGCCCGTTGATGTAGTACTCAGCAGCTCTAGCTTCATCAACTGTTCCAAAGGCTTTCTTGATGGCTTTTTTGAACTCATCGTAACTTTCGAAAATGGTGTTGGTTTCTTCTTTGCGGTTGTCTTTTTCTTTATTAAGGTAGTCCCTTATAATGGGTTCAAACCATGCGAGTGCTACTCCCGTTATACATCCTCCTGTGTGTAGTACCTTGACAGAGGATTCTTCCATTTTGTTTGGGAATTGTTGGTGGTAAGCCCTGAGTTGAGTGAGGAATTCTTGAAGCGCACCTGGGGATCCGTTGTATGGTCCTGGTGCCCTGGGTTTAAGGATTTCTCCTAAGTCCTTTTTAATTGTGGTAGTAGTTGTGGCTTGTTCCTGCCGTTCTTCTTCTATCTGTTGGACCCGTTCCTGAAGGCGTATGATCTCAGCAAGCATCTCGTGAGCAGAGATGGTTGTTGGTCCTTCTCGGGTTTTATTTGATCTAGATGCGGTGGTAGTCTTGCGTGGTGCTATATTGACAGTTATTAGGTATTGCTTAGAGTGACGCGGTAGTAGTCTGAACAAGAGCTTTTAACGTGTAACGGCTAAGGTTCCTAAGGGATAAACTAGTTGTAGTTTATGTTGGCAGAGCCACTAGGGCAGTTAATCTGAGCAGTTGGGTGTTACGTTGGTAATAGGTCGTAGACCGTAACCAGGTGATCAGAGTCAAAGAGTTGTAAGCGAAGCTTATTTAATGTAATGATCGGTGTTGAAAGCTAAGGAGCTAGAGTCTATTTATGAAGCGAATTTGGGGGTCCTTATATACTACGGCGTTCACCCGTTGTTCACTGAAGTCCTGGTGAACTATGGTTATATGCGTGCTATTGGTTCGTCTGGAGTTCACTGAACAGTCAGTGAACTCTCCCTTATTGGCGGCCCGTTCCGACCATTAATCCGTCACCCGCTGTGCCTGCGCCGTCCCGTGGCTCATGCAGCCGGCCCAACCTGCGACCTACGCTGCAGCTTGTGACTGGGTCGTAACACTACTAAGAAAAATATCTAAAAATACTATTAGCTTAATAATTAATATAGAAGCTTAATTAACCTAGACTAGCTTAAAGTATTATATATAAGGTTTATTACTGCTTATTCTCTTCTAATATAGCTTATAAAGTGCCTAAAATTCTAAGTAATATTAGCTTATATTAATATTAATATTAATACTTAGCTTTTAGGGTTATACTAAACTATTAAGAAATAGATTATATAGTAATATAAGAATCAGAAAAAAAAGGTAAAGTAATATATATAATTAATAAAATTAAGAATTTATATTAGTTATAACCTTTAAATATCTCCTAACTTTTTAGTAATTTTAGGTATAATTACTTATTATATTACTAAAAACTATATGCTAGAATACTATACTTTAGCTATAAAAAATATTAATAATAAGTATAATAGTTCTTATCTTGTTATAATAATAATAGAAATAGTTAATAACTAGGGTTTTACTTCTAAACTAGGATATTTTATAATAGATAATATAAGTAATAATAACACAATAATAAAGTCCTTTTCTCTTAGTTAATACAACTTATTATTTCCTTTAAATACTACTAATACTTATAGTGTAACGGCTAAGGTTCCCAAGGGATAAACTAGTCGTAGTTTATGTTGGCAGAACAACTAGGGCAGTCAATCTGAGCGGTTGGTTGTTACGTTGGTGATAGGTCGTAGACCGTAACCAAGTGATCAGAGTTAAAGAGTTGTAAGCGAAGCTTATTTAATGTAATGATCTGTGTTGAAAGCTAAGGAGCTAGAGTCTATTTATGGAGCGAAATTGGGGGTCCTTATATACTACGATAGATCACTTCTCCTGTCGTGATGTTTCCCTTTGGATCGCTGTTGTGACCGTGATCCCGCTTATACGGATCACGGTTCCTTCTGCGATCCAGATGTGATGGTTGCTCTGACTATTAATCTGTTGTCTGCCCTGCCTGTGCCGCCCCGTGGCTTATGTAGCCGGCCTAACCTGCAGCTTGCTTCCTGTATACGACTGGGTTGTAACACGATGTCCCTTCTCCTATGGTCTTGTCCTTAAGACCTAAGTCTCGTTTCATAAATAGCTTTGTAGCCCTTTTTTCTGTTGGTAAGTTCCCTCCTTCTTCTATTCTCTGGGATGTTCTGCTGATGCCATGTCCGGTCGCATTTCCAAGCCGAAATCGAACGCGAAGAAAGATAATGGTCGCGAACGTGCCAATCTTGTTGGTGTTATAGATTTATTTGGCTGCCTTGTGGATATGCCTTGTACTTATTGTTTTAAAAACGGTAAATCCTGCCGTATGGTGGATGGGAGATCGCGATGTAGCGAGTGCGTGCGGCGTGGTCGCCCATGTGATGGTGTTTTGGTGGCTTCTTCTTGTGGGTGCTGCCACAGCCCTTGTTTTGTCTGTATCCTTTTGCTGATAGTGTTTCTTAGTAACGCGCTTGCTGGAGCAACAGAAGAAACTGGAGTCGGAGGAGGAGGAGGCGGGTGATAAGCTGTTGGAGCTTTATATACAGCTGGCCGACCTTTAGTCTCAGCTCTCCACAGCCGTAAATTGATTAGCCCGAATACGAAAGATCCGGAATCGTGTTAAGGATAAAAGTTTGGAATTATTTCGTCGTGGTATAGCGGAGTTGGATGCTGAGGATGGGATTCTGCCCGCTTTAGACGCTCACGAGCGTTGGGTGGTGAATGATTTGGGTGCGATGGGTGTTCCTAAAGAGAGTGACTGGTCTGCTTTTAGGTTGGGCGAGGAGTTCTTGGATCTGGGTCCCCTTATACCTCCTGCGCCTTCTGGTGAAACTGCCTTAATAGGTGCTGGCACTTCCTTAGGTGCTTTATAGGTTCCCATGTGTTTTCTTTGTGTCTATAGTTTTTCTACTTAATGAGGTACTAGCGTGTTTTGTTCTTTGTCCTTATATCTAGGATTTGTTCTACTTTGTATTCTCTGTTGTCTAAGACTTTGATGTCTTTTTCTGCTGGTGTATTATTTGGTGCTTTCTCGAGAAGTGAAATGTGTACTATGGGATGATTCCTCATAGTCTTTGGTAGTGAAAGTTCGTAATTGTTCGCCGATATTCGTTTTTTGATAGCGAATGGTCCTAATTTTTTGTAGTCTAATTTGTCGCTTAGTCGCGTTGTTTTGATGTTTTGTCGGAGTAGGTAGACCATGTCTCCCTCCCCAAAGATTGGTCCCTTTAATCTTTTACGATTATGGTATTGTGCCATTCTGTTTTGTACGAATTCCAATTCGTGTCGCATTCCTTTATGCAATTTCTTTAGTTTATCTGCTTGCAGTATCGCTCGTTCTGCTTGCGGTCTTTCGCGCCGTGTTCGAAATACTTCGGGGTTAAATCCGTAATTGGCGTAGGCTGGTGTTTGCTTTGTCGATTCCGATATTGAGCTATTATAAGCCAATTGCGCTGTAGGTAACCATCTAACCTAATTGTTCTGTTGATGATTGATGTAGCATCGCAGATACTGTTCAAGCGTCTGGTTTAATCTTTCCGTCTGTCCATCTGTTTGTGGATGATATGCAGTGCTTAACTTGTGATTCGTTCTAAGTTGTGCTATAAGTGCTTGCCAAAATTTAGAGGTAAATGTACTTCCTTTATCCGATATGATTTCCTCTGGCAGCCCATGATTGCTTGCTATTGTTTGTAAGAACATATATGTAAGTTCTTTTGTATTGCTTGCTTCTTTGTACGGTAGAAAGTATCTGTACTTTGTGAGTTTATCCGTGACCACGAATATGCTGTTATATTCTATATTGGTCATTGGTTCTTTTGACATTGGTAGCTTCGTAATATGATCGAAAGCTATTGATTCCCATGGTCGTGTTGGTACTGGTAGTGGTTGCAATTCTCCGTATGGCTTATATCGTGAAGCCTTACTTTTTCCGCATTATATGCATTTGTTGACAACCTTTTCGACTATCTTCTTGATTCCTGAGAAATCGTATTGTCGTTGTATCTTATCCAGTGTTTTGCGGATTCCTTGATGTTTATAGACTGGATGTTCGTGCATTTCTTTGATGTATTCTTCTTGTAACTCTGGAGGTATCCAGGTCTTTCCATGGTACTTTGGGATAGTTCTGGGTTCTACGAGATATTCTTTTGGCGTGTCTGCAAACCTAACCTTTTCCTTTGCTTATTGTTGGATTTTCTTGTATACTGGGTCTTTGTCTTGTACCTTTAGTATGGCATTCAGTTGTCTTTGCTGAAAATTGCCATTTGTATTAACCTCAAGAAGTTATCCTGTCGCCATAGGTACTCCTGTATTGTAGTTACTTCTTTAACTTAGAGCGTCTGCTCGTCCGTTCTCGGATCCTTTTTGATAGATGATTTCGTAGTTGAATTCTGAAAGATATTCGGCCTATTAAATTTGTCGTCCATTTAATTGTTGCGTTGTCGCAAAGTGAGAGATGTTCTTGTGATCGGTATACACCTTAACTTTGTGTTTGCTTCCCATGAGGTAATGTCTAAATTCCTTGAAAGCATTGATGATTACTAGGAATTCTTTGTTGTAGATAGGGTAGTTAAGTTCTGCTCCATGAAGTTTCTTTGAGTAGAACGCAATAGGGTGTAGTTTTCCGTTATTGTCTCTTTGTTTAACTTGTGCTCTTAGAGCAAAGTCTGATGAATTGGTTTCTAATTCCGTTTCCTTTTCTAGGTTAAAGGTTCTTAAAACAGGTTCGGATGTGATGAGTTCTTTGATCTTGTTAAAGGCATATTACGCCTTATCGTTCTAATTCTATTGCTTATTCTTCTTGGTGAGTTCATCTAAGGGTGCTGCGATTTTGTTGTAGCTTTTGATGAATCTCTTGTAGTAGTTCGCAAAGCCTCTAAAGCTTTGTATGTTCTTGATATTTTTTGGTGTTGGCCAGTTCCTTACTGCCTCGATCTTTGTCTTTTCTATTTGTATCTTGTTCGGTTGTATTGTGTGTCCTAGGAAGTCTACTTCCTGTGTATAGAACTTATATTTTGCTGGTTCAAGTAATAGTTTAGCGTCTTGTAGCGTTTTCAGTACCGTGTGTATGTGTCCTTTGTGGTCTTCTAGGGTTTTCGAGAAGATCAGTATATCATCGAGATATACTACCACGAAGTTATCCAAATATTCTTGTAGTACGCTGTTGATTATTCTCTGGAATGTTGCTGGTGCGTTGGTGAGCCCTATTGGCATTACTAAGTATTCGAATAGTCCGAATTTCGTTCTGAAGGCTGTCATCCATTTGTGACCCTTCTTTATTCGAATCAAGTTGTATGCTCCTTTTAGGTCTACCGCGGTGAACCAATTCATACCGTGTAATCGGTCTTGTAGTTCTGATATTAGTGGCAACGGTGTTCTGTCTTTCATGGTAATCGCGTTTAATCGCCGATAATCTACTACTAACCGCAATTTTCCGTTTTTCTTTGGAACAAACATAACTGGGTATCCAGCTTCTGATGTTGATGCTCTGATATAGCCTTTTGCTAGCATCTTGTTGATGTATTCTCGTAACGTTTTGAGTTCTTTTGCGTTTAAGTTGTAGATCTTGTGGAATGTTGTTGACTTTCTATTTGCTAATTCGATTTTATGATCCCATTGACTGTGTTTGGGTAATCCGGTTTCTAATTCTTCTGCGAATAATTTTTTGTATTTCCGGTATTCCTTAGGGATATTCTTGAGTTTTTCTTCTTTTGTTATTGGGCTTTTGTCGTTTTTGTTGTTCTCGTTTTTCTTCTCTTCTTCGAGTTTCTTATTTGTGTTTGCGAGGTCTTTCCTTAAGGTGGTAATAACCTTTTGGATCTTGGCTTTTGTCTTCTTGTTGCTTATTGTTGTTCGTATCCCGGTTTGTAGCGCTATCGAGGTTGTTACGGTGGATCTAATCGTTCTTTTCTTTGTACTTATTGTCTCTGTATTGTTTATTTGTTGTTGTTGGTCCTTGGATAACTTGCTTGAAGGTTCCTTTTCTTTAGAACTTTGTTCGTGAGCTAAGTTATAATGAAATTTCGTTCTTTCTTCCGAATTCTGCTGATTCTGTTGGCCTGAAGTCTTGTTCCACTTTAGTTGGCCTGTCCTCTAGTTGATTAGTGGGTTACTCTCCCATAACCATGGGTACCCTAACACTAGGTCGTGTTCCGATACGTTTATAATATTGAGTTGAATCACTTCTGAATGACCTTGAATCTGTACTTCGAGATGATCAGTCTCTTGGTTAATGATTCCGTTATTGTAGGCAAAAAGTTTTCCTTTGATATCAGTTAACTCGTATGGTGCCTCTTTGTGTTTCCACGGTAGTTGGTAACGATTAACAACTCTGGGTGAGATATAGTTGCCTATCGCGCTACTGTCCACAAGTATGCGAACGTGATGTCCCATGACTTCGGTGTCTAATACCATCTTATCGCTTTGTCTATCTTGGATTGCATTGAGGGTTATTAGCGTCTTTCTCTTTATGCCAGCTTGTAGCCCTTTTACAGATGGTGTGCCTTGTTTTTTGAGTTTTCTGGAATAGATTCTTCTGCGATTTGTCGTTTTATTTCCTGGTATTATTCTGTAGGTCTAGTTCTATTTTGTGGGTGCTTAAAGCAAAACCTATTGTTAAACATTTGATATAGGCGGTTATAAATTTGGTCTTTTATTTCTTCGTGCTTTTTGCATCTTGGGTTGTCGTAGTTTACTGCATGTTTCTTGTTGTATTTGGGGTTGAACTTCTGTTCGTGGTACTACTTATCCAGCCTTTGTTCATTGTGGTATGTTGATTCTGTGGTTCCCCTGGGATCTTTCTGTTTGAGTATGTCTAATGCTCGCTGTGTCCGTTTGTATGCTGCTGGTGTCCCATATTGCCACTTGTGCTATTCTCTGGCCTTATCTACCATATGTTCTGAGTAATTTGGTAGTGGGTATACCATGTGGTCTTTTGTTTCACATCGAGGTGACTTGAGTAGTAACTCTCTTCTGTGTGTTGAGATCTTTCCCCCATACACATACTGATGCTACTGCCTGTTCTTTGTATATACATGTAACTGGCATGTGTCTGATTCACATACGTCCGTAGGATTTGTATGAGCTTGGCATTTGATGGGTGTGTTTAAATCGGGTTCCAAGATCATCGTTTGATCGTTATTGATTATCTTTACTCTCTATTCTAGGAGTTCCCATCTGAAGTATAGTGCTTTGATTGGATATCCTTTTATCCTGATTGGAAATGTATTTAGTTGTGCCTTGGTTGTAAAATGTGCCTGGCACATCATAAATATGTATGATGCCTATGCTAATCGTGTATAGTCCTTATGTCTTGGTGAGAGTCTGGGGTTATCCCCTTCTTCCCTCTCTGGGTATTATAGTGTCGGGTTTCTCAATATTGTGGTGGTGTCCACTGCAATAATAGGAATTGCGAAATGTTTTCCTGTTGGTGCGGGGAAATATCGTTGTATAGCTTGCTCTTGTGTGGCTGTTAGCCCTGCTGGCGTTTCTTCCTCGCTTTGTTTGTCTTCGGACGCTTCTGGAGTGTCTAGGATTGCGTTGTCGTCATCGACGCTTATCTCCCTTACTCTATCTTCTGGTTCGTCGAGGGGGGTGAGGATTTGTGCGTCTTGCTCCTCCCTATGTTGTTGTTCCCTTCGAATCTTCCTTGCTTCTGCTTGTTGTCGCACCCAATTGAGGATTTCTTGGTGCGAGTCTTCGTCCAAATATTCCGGCGACTTTAGTTCATGGAGTTCTTTTCGTCCCGTTATTGTAAGAGTTTTCTTTTCCATTGATTGTTTGTCCAGTTCTTCTTGTACCAGTTGTTTGGCTACTTGCAGCCTGTTTCCCACGAAGTTCACAATTTTCTTCCTTGGTTTTCTTGGTTCTTTTGGAAACCATCCTGTTTCTTGTTTGCTGCTTATGTGAACGTAGCAGTTGTCGTTGTAGCAGAAGGTCCAGTTGAGGTTTTTATGTTCCACCTCTGGTTCGGTAACTTCGTTTTTCTGTTGGTTAGTAGCGTTGAGCTGTTTCTTACCTCCTTCTGGTACTGGCTTCTATTCTTTCCTGGGTTTCTTGTATTTATTGGCGAAATGTCCTGGTTTTCCGTAGTTGTAGCATTTCTTTTCTTTCCTGTTATCCTTTTTGGTAGCGTCAAGCTCTATTTGTCCAGGGTTAAGAGTGTGACCGTAGGCAATAGGTTCTTCTCGCCTTCTCTTCTGGTTTGCTTGCTGTCCTCTTCTTCCTGTGGGGTTCCAGGTTCCCCTTTCCTGTTGCTTTTGCATGCGTCGCTGATACTGTCTGTTATCGATTTGAACTGCTATTGCCATATAGTCTGAGAAGTTGTTTGGTATGTCTTCTTTGTACAGTTTGTCCTTGATTTCTTCTTTCAGTCCTTTAAAGAAGGCTGACATGAGTGGCTCATCTTCCCAGTCTAGTACTGAGGTGACTTGTCTGAAACGTGCCGTATAATCCGATGTAGATCCTTTTTGTCTGAGTTGATCTATGTGAATGATTGCGGTCCTTACTTTGTCGGTTGATCTAAATGTTTTTTTGATTGCTTTTTTGAATTTCTTATAGTTGGCAAATATTTCTTTTGTTTTGTCTTCTTGATCATCTCTTGCGTTGGTGAGATAGTCTCGTATAATTGGTTCAAACCATGTGAGCGCGGTGCCCGTTATATATCCTCCAGCGTGTAGCACTTTTGCTTGCACATCGGTTAACTTGTTTGGGTAGAATCGGTGGTACGCCCTGAGCTGGGTTAAGAATTCTTGGAGCATTCTTGGGTTGCTGTCATAGGGTCCTGGTGCCTTAGGCTTGGTGATCTCTCCTAAGTCTTTTTGTCCTGACATAAGTATTTGGCGTTCAAGGCTGAGTTGCTCAACCTGTTGGCGTAGTCGCATAAGTTCGATCATGAGGTCCTGGGGTCCGAGGCTTTGAGGTTCCTGAGGTGTTGGCGATGCAGTTGCCTTAGACGAGGTAGGTGTTGTAGGTGCTATCTCGACAGTTATCAGATATTGCTCAGAGTGACGTAGTGGTTGTCTGAACAAGAGCTTTTAACGTGTAACGGCTAAGGTTCCCAAGGGATAAACTAGTTGTAGTTTATGTTGGCAGAACAACTAGGGCAGTCAATCTGAGCGGTTGGTTGTTATGTTGGTGATAGGTCGTAGACCGTAACCAAGTGATCAGAGTCAAAGAGTTGTAAGCGAAGCTTATTCAATGTAATGATCTGTGTTGAAAGCTAAGGAGCTAGAGTTTATTTATGGAGCGAAATTGGGGGTCCCTATATACTACGATGGATCACTTCTCCCGTCGTGATGTTTCCCTCTGGATCGCTGTTGTGACCGTGATCCCGCTTACACGGATCACGGTTCCTTCTGCGATCTAGATGTGACGGTCGCTCCGACTATTAATCCGTTGTCCGCCCTGCCTGTGCCGCCCCGTGGCTTATGTAGCCGGCCCAACCTGCAGCCTGCTTCCTGCATACGACTGGGTCGTAACATATAGCCCTTTTATAATAATATAATATTTAATATAACCTTAACTTTTACCGACTTTACTACTAAGGCTATATTATATTAAGCAGGCTACTAAGTCCTTTCTTTTTATTACTAATAATAAAAAACTTAAGCATAATAATTCTAGTCTAAAAAATATAATATTAAAATGAATTAAGGCATAGCGGCAAAAAAGCCTTTTTAATAAGCTTTATAATTTTATTATTTATATTTAATAAAGTATTTAATATAGCTAAAAGTTTATAGTTATTAGTTATAATTATAAGCTTACACGTAATAATAACATAAAGTAGAATTTGTGGTATACTATACTATAAGTAATATTAAATCTTAGAAATATAATTAATAATTATTTTAATAAATAGGTAGAAGTAAATTATACTAGAAATAAGCTTTCTTTAAAAAAACTAGATTACTCTTAAAAAAATAAATATATTTTTAAAAAAGCTTAAAATAATAATTAAAGCTCTTAAATTATTATTTATAATACTTAATTATATTTTTTTAGCTATAAACTTTATATTAGCCTAATTTAAAACAAGAAAAGAGATATATACTAATAATCTAATTATAATACTAATATATAACTTAGGCTAGGCAAAATTAGATAAGTACTATTACCTTACTAATAAATCGCCAGCTTATATTACAGTAATTATACTTTACCCTTTATATAAATAGTATTATATATATAAGAACTAAAAAATAAAATAGGTTAAGTTATTAAAAAAGTTAATTAAAATACTATAAGGTAAATATAAACTAATAGAATTACCTTTTTTTTTAAGGTGTTATTAATAATAATAAATAAGTTCTTAAAATAAAGGAATAAGTATTTATAATTAGCAGTTATTATAAATAAGTATAAGTATTATTATAAGTCTAGACAGGTCTATAAATTTATAAGCGCTCTTATATAATAGCTAAAAAAAACATAATAAAAAACCTACCCTAACTTAAGCAAAATAGCCATGGATATATTATTAATTCTTATAATATTTATAAAGCCTAAAAGGCTTTTTTTTAGGGCAAAAATAATAATTATAAATCGTAAAAACCAGATAAAAAGTAATATAATTAAAGTATTAAAGTATTTAAAATTATAGTTTAGGATATAAGACTTTTAAAGCTTAATATTTTAGGCGTAGTAATAATATAATATAGGTTATATATAATATATAAAATATATTACTATATTATTAATATATTAGGTTTTTAGTAATATAATATAATATAGACTAATACTATATTATATAATATAATATACACTACTTAATAATAGAATAATATTGCGAGGGGGTCCATATTGCCAATATACGTATTGTTTATATTATTTACTACACTGCATTCAAGACCAGGAGTGTTTGAGGAATTGTCCGTATAGCGGTTCCCAGCAACCTCTGCCTTCCCCAACTATACGATATAGCCATGCCTACCGTGAGTCTGTGACCTCCACGGTAGGGCTTTTTACGTAAGCTTGGCTATCCTGGCCATCGCTTATAGATTTGCCTGGGTTCGTAGTTCTTCCACGAACATTCCCACTAGGTCTTTTGATTGAGAGCAGCCTAAGGTGCTCTAGACAGGTGCGCGTCCACTGAGGTCTAGCCCCTACAGTGGATTTTGCCCAACACTGGTTGTCGTAGCGTCGGCTATTATGACTAAACTTAGCCGAAATATAGATTCGGACGGAAGGAAGTCGGTGGTAGTTTAAAGCCTTAGAAAAATCTGGAGTAAAAAAAGAAAAACAGTTATAGAGGAATAACTATAGCTAATATATATCTTAAAACGCTATATAGGGTTCAATTATTAAATAAAACTGCTTTTATTAATAGAATAAGTAAACTTAATATAATTTCTATTTATTATTATATTAGTTATTATAACTTAAATTAATTAAAAAATAAATTTAAATAAAAAAAAGTTTTTAATATTAAATAAAAAGTTATAAATTTTATTATAATAT